CCTTTGGGGCGAGAGAAGAGTCAGTCAGTCAGCTGTGGTTGCTTAAGTGGAATCCTGGCAAAAACCTCTCAGGCGCTCCCCTTTGTGTGCTCAAGAATTAGTCTAGGGACTTAAGATTTCTATGCATACACTTACCTGGGGAAATAGGAAGTCAATATCTCCGCTATGTCACATTAATGTTAGATAATCCAATTCTCCTTATCAGCTGGTCCAGACTTATCTAACCAATTATGAATGTTAAACATGAAGCTATGGGGTATAATTAAGAGTAAGGCAGCTTTAGATCATCATGTACATGTTCCAACCCAGACACAGCCTCTCCTTTCTGATCCTTACCATGACAATGTTCATGAAAAAGACTCAATATTTTATTCGGCCATACAAAAAAAAGTTTCTTATCCAGAGCACACAGAGTTTTGCAAGGCCAGAGGGATGGTATGAAATAAAGAAAGAGAAAATTTAGACTGAGTGTCTTGGGGGAGGATGAGGCATGACTCAAAAGAGCAAGATATTTTAGAGTAGTGTCCAAGTGGTGGAGGGACAAAAGCACTAGAAAATATACTACAGGGAGCAATCCTACACTAGCCAGCATGGGCAGATACAGGCACTCAAGAGGTTTACATTCCAGATTCTTTGCAGGGCAGCCGATTTCCTTAATCTGTGTCTGTGGTGTGCGTCTGTCTGAATTTGGGCTTCGTGGATGTCAGTGCTGAACTCGGGCCACAAAGTTCCCATCCAGCTTTTCCCAACATTGCGGGGGGAGGTTCGCGTTGGTCTCGGTGTTGACGCGAGGGATTCGGATGTTTCCGATGTTGCATTAATGGGTATCGAGTGGGGCAGTGGTTAGAGAAAGTAGCGAGGACACAGAGCACCTGGAATACAGCTGAGACAGCTGTTTCTTGGGACCAGATGCAGCCAGCCCTGGGCAAGATTCCAGTGCGTGTGGGCAAGGGCTACCAGGGTTGCCAGTTAGGGGAGGTGGCAGAAGGTCAGCAAGGCAGAGAGATGAATATAAGACTGTGCATGACAAACAGACACCACAGAATCCTGGAAAAAATGAGCACTAAGTGTAGGAGGGGAGGGGAATAAATACGTGTTTTAAATGGAAAAGTTGAGGCTGTTCTTACCAGAAAGTTTCCAGTAAGATGCAGAGTTCCTGGGCACGTCCCAGAGCAAAAACCGGGATAAGAACCTGCAATTAAAGTGCAGAGTTAGACTATACTACTGCCAAACACCATGCAAAGATTATGTGCCCCACTGGTTCCCACAAACACCTGCACTTGCTCACAGTGGGTGCACATTCCATTTTATAGATGAACTCCATGTGCCCTCCTTTCCAAACTCTCCCCACAGAGGGCCGATCTTCCTGATGCTGCTTTTTATTTCCCTATTCATCATTTGTTCTTAAGGAGAGGAGACAGTGCACATTTACGGAAAGCAACAGCCTAGGCTCCCTGGATTCTCGCAATATAACAGGGAACATGCTTTATGGAGACCTAGGGGATCACATTGTTCTGTTTAGCACTGCAAGGAAGTTTCCAATAAAATACTGTAAATAAAAACAAAACCACATTTCTGGCATTGTCTATGGAAAATTATATTGTGCCAAGCACTTTTCATCTTGACTGCCTAGGCCGCACTGGAGCAGTTACGTCCTAGCAGTAACTTTTTTAGCCCTCCAGGGGACAAGGAGCGTGAGAGTCGAACATAGAACGTACACACAGCTGCCTCCTTGGAGAGTTTTCACACACGTCGTTTCATGTCTCTAATATTTTCTGCTGTCAAACTCTTCACTGATGCTTGCTGCCAACTCGCAGGACCTTACATTACACTGATTGGTTTTCCAGATTCAGTGACAACTTCATAGAAATCATCAGCTAATTCTAAGATGAGTCTCTAGGTGGGAGATCTATGTGTATGCCACCTCTGTTCTCAGAGGACTCACTTTTCCCTTCCATAAGCAGTTCCAGATTGCTCCCTCACTGGGAACAGAACAATAAATGAACTAAGTATATGACCAAAGTCACTAGGGATGAACTAATGTACCTTTTAACCAAGACAACACCATTAAAACTGTAAACATGCGATTGCCATACAGACTGCACCTCCCATTTTATCAGCGATTAATTTAATCCAAACTTCAGGAACTAAGGGCCACATCCTCATGCAAATCAGCATAGTTCCATTATTTGAGAATCCAGTGATTTGACCATTGGGATCTGGCTCTAAACTATTTGTTATAATGCAGATACAACATCCACCTTTAAGTAGGACTGCTCTAAGGCACATTTTATTGGGAAAATTCTCTCACTGGCTACAGAAAGTTGTCTTTTATTAACAGAGGGAGGCAATGACCAAAATTCTGAATGAGCGAGAAACAAACACGTGCCTAAGGCCGACCCACAAAATCCAACTATAGTTAAAAATTGCATTAAGATCTTATTGACATTATAAGCACCGCTACGTGCCATGTGCTTTGGTGGTCATGTAGATAACAAGACCAGTTGTTTATTTCAAATTGACATTATTAGAAAAGAACTGAACAAATAAAAGGGGGAAGCTACATGCAGTGCATGCAAACGTTTGTAAAGTGTTTCAGAAGGGGATGTAGGTACCTCTTTGTATGTTAATACTTTCCATATATTTGGGGTTTTACAGCAAAAATCTGCTAAGGGTCTAATCGTGGGGCACGGAATACTGAGCTGAGAGCACTAGAAATTATTGGTTAGGAGTAAAGATTTTGACAGATAGTCATGTAAATTTAGAAACTGAGACTAAGACTAGTTTAGAGCACAAAATGCATATGCCTGTGTCTCAGGCACGACTTTCTCTGTAACTTTGAACTACAGAGAGTTAAGATTGTAACCTTGGCATTTCCCTTCCACTAGAAAAACAAAAGCTCACACTTAATACCCTGCCCTTTCTAGCATAGGTTAGCAATAAAACCAACCACCAACTTGCTTGGTGGAGCAACAGAGCTGTCATCAGGCTGTGTAAGAAGTCAGCTCAAATATTAGCAATAATACGGCCCTACTGACCCACCGGATGCCCATGCTTTCTACAGACTGGAAAATGCCCCAATTAGCTTATGCCACATACCATACCTTCCCTCCTCTCTCTACACTTTCATGGACCTTCTTCAGGAAGTCCCTCTCTCGGCAGCGTTTGGAGTCTCGGATAGTTGTGGCATAGGTGGATTCGCTGATTAATAAATCCGGACGACACTTATCAATCCAGGCAGCTCTAAAACAAAACAGAGAGAGACCATCTAATAGATAATATATAGCACTTTAATATAGGGATAATGATGTTCCTTATCCTTCTTTTATAGATGGGGAAACTGAGGCCCAGAAATCACAGAATCATAGGACTGGAAGGGACCTTGAGGGATCATCTAGTTCAGTCCCCTGCACTCATGGCAGGACTAAGTATTATCTAGACCATTCCTGACAGGTGTTTGTCTAACCTGCTCTTAAAAATCTCCAACGATTAAC